GCCATCACGGCAGCCTGGGCTACCCAGGCACCGATAGAGGAGATTTGCAAGGCTGCCACGTGGACTTCTTTGTCTCCCTTTGTTCAAAACTACAGACTGGACAAATTTGCTTCTACAGAGGGGGCGAGTTCTCCAGGGCATTCATACCAGCGGAGATACCCTGGATGCGTCCGCTTCCCGCCCTAGTGACATTTAGGTTAGGGTTTATTCAGTGTGTATGCCACCCTATTCCCAAGAGACTGAGGGTGGCATACAAATTGAATAAACCTTAACCTTAACCTAACCTTGGGTATGTCCCATGCTTGGACTCTACACAGCAGCACCCAGGAAAATGATCACTGGCTTACCTGAAGGGTGCTTTTCTGGGTGCTGCAAAGGAGAGTCCAACCCCACCCTGGGGTCTGCTCCGCCATTTGTCATATGATTTCTTTTGGACTTGTGGATATTTTTTTACAACCATCATTGACTTGGTTCCTGAACTTCTCAGTGGGCATTGTCCACGCCTTAATTGAAGAAAATCCGAGGATTAGTCAGCCCCAGAGGCGTGGCTTAAAGTTTCAATTCAGTCCTGGGCAGATTGGCTATATTTAACCCATGCTTGGACTCTCCTTCGCAGCACCCAGAAAAGGACCCTTCGGGTAAGCCAATGGTCATTCTCATTCACCTTTTTCTAACTAAACTATGCAAGAACTGCAAGTAACGTACGTAGAACTTAAGGGTTCATATTTTCATTTGAGAAAATAGAAGTACAGAAAGCTTTAGTTTGGGTTGAAAGCATTATCAAGTTCACAGGTTAAAATAGGTGAGAAAGTGTAGCAGAAATGTTCTGCAGAAGCTATTTTGCATATATCAGGCTAGCTCTTAACATGTTTCACCTAGACCTAATTGGAAGAAACCTTTAGCTTTTGTGAACTAGAGGCAGCAACCAAGACCAATTAGTTTAGAATACAGTTGGCCTTCAGCTTGAGTTAGTGGCAAAGTTCACAGATTTTTAAATGCAATTTGACTTGCATTTAAATTGAGTTGCTGTAAGATAATAGCCTTTAGATAGCTAAGTATTGACCAACCCTATCATCTCACTATTCTGTCATTATACTTAGAACATTGTTGAGTTGTAGCTGAGAACACTAATGCATGCAGGCTTTACAGTCACTTTATTGTAATGAACACTGATAGGTTAAGATGATGAGGCACAGAAAATATAGGCAGAAATCAATACATGTAAAATAGAAGAAAACCCAGTGTACAGCATATGTGCTTTTTTGGTATTCCAACTCTTTAGTTCATGCACTAATTTAATACTTAAACTCTCAGTCATTCTCCACAGTGGAGAACAAACTGTCAGCACAATGCTTGATTTAATGTTACCCACAACTAAGAGAATCCAGAATTCATTTTATCTAAGCTGATTGGATGCCATTGGCTTCCTTTCAACACTTCCATGAAAGAATAGGGACTTGGTTTTACCCGTGACTCCTGTTTTGCTCTGGGATCATTTCTGTATCTGGATGACTCCTTGGCACTGGATTTTCAAAAGCCAAAGGAAGTTTTCAAAGAATTTTTTTAAAAAATAACTTGAAACTCACTATTCATAGAAATAGTGAGGATTAGTTACCTTCACTCAAATATTTCAATTTTAAAACACCATTTCTTAATGCATATGAAGCCTTGTGTTTGGATGCATTTAAAAGTAATTACTTGATTAATACATTAGTACACTTGGTTTTATCTGATTTTCATAATATTTAGCATATACAATCAGTGTCTTAAAAGATTAAATTTCCCCATGGAATACTACATTTTATATATTCTGATCATGTTAGTACAACAATATTACTCCCTGAAAAGTTTCAGAAATGAAGTCATTGTTCAGGAAAAGAAGTTTCCTTTCTTGCACAAATGACAAAATAAAGTTTATGCTTAATTTACTGTCCTTGGTTGCCATTTGCCATCACAGACCATAAACTGTGTTGTGAATTATCCAGTATGTTATTGTTTATCAACACAAAGCAAACTTCACCCTGAATACTTAATGTTCCATTTACTCAATACATTCATTTTGTTCTTACTTACTGCTGCTGCTGCATTGTGTTACTGAGCCTTGCCAGTGTTTCAGGTTGCTGCAAATCTCTGCAATGCATGCACATGACACACTGCCATTTCTGGGAACGGGGGAAGAACTGGAGAGAGAAAGAGAGAGTAATGGTGCTAGCCAGTTCAAAATGAGCAAAAAACATTGCCTTCATTTTGAATCATTTTTGTAGCCAAATTTCAGTGAAGCGTTGTGACAGAATCATATTTATTTAGCCGATGAGAAGAGGAAAAGCTGAAGAAAGACAACAATTCCCAAGCCAGAACAACAGCTGGAAAGGGAAAAGTCACCACAAACAGGCAGTGTGTTATTAGGGCTGGGGGACACTAAAAATTTTCGGTTCTAAAATGACTTCTGCATTATACTTGCAATATGACATTGAAGCTACAATCATTAACAAGGGGGCTGATGGACATTAATCTTTGTGCCCTTGATCTTTTTTCAGTACTGAACCTGGGTCAGTGGATAAATAGAGATCCCTCCTAGGGGAGTACTGTCTATATAAACCTGGTTGTATAGAAGAGATATCAGGGACGTGGTGGCTCAGTGGCTAAGATGCTGAGCTTGTCAATCAGAAAGGTCGGCGGTTCAAATCCCTAGCGCCACGTAACGGAGTGAGCTCCCATTACAGCTTCTGCCAACCTAGCAATTCAAAAGCAGATAAAAATGCAAGTAGGAAAATAGGAACCACCTTTGGTAGGAAGGTAACAGCGTTCAGTGCACCTTTGGGTGTTTAGTCATGTTGGCCACATGACCACAGAGACGTCTTCAGAGAGCACTGGCTCTTCGGTTTGTAATGGAGATGAGCACCCTAGAGTCAGGAACAACTAGTACATAGGTGCAAGGGGAACCTTTACTATAGAAGAGATCTATTCTTAGTCAATGTAGCAGATATTTTGCAAGGATTGTTCCCAGTAGCTCCAGCCATTTATAGTACTGTCAACTTAATTTATGCTAGCAATTTTTTTAAAAAAAGGTTTGCAAATGTTAATTATTACAAAAATTCTTTCTCCTGATTTGTTTTCCATTTCTCATCTCTCTTTTGAAAAGAAAATCAACAGTACTATACTACTAATGGAGTTATACTTTTAACAGGATCTCATTTGCCTAATGACAAAAAAAACTATCTACTCATTATTTCCAAAAAGGATCAGGGATTTATAACCGACACTAGCATTGACAAATTCTGATAATGCGGCACAGAGCAAATACTTAATTGGCAGTCAGTTGGCATCTGAAATAAAAGCCATGCTTTAGGCTTACTGAGAACTAAACAATAAAATATTTTTATGACCATATTAAAGGCTGTCTATAGCAGATAGTTTCGAATTATTGCAAAAATAGGGAATCTAAATTCATGGATTCAGGTGTTTGCTGAAATTGTTCATCCATGATAATATCATATTTTCCATGTTGATATTGTATTATATTCCTTATATATGCAATTTTCTTTCGTATATAAATTAATGGTTTGTGTATTTGATACCCAGTTTCCCTGAAAATAAGACTTCCCCATATAATAAGCCCAATCAGGCTTTTGAGCACATGCACTAAAATAAGCCCTCCCGAAAATATTGGAACAGCAATATTTTTGAGGTAACCACGCTCGCCACCTCCTGCACCTCAAAAATAATTAGACCTCCCTGAAAATAAGGCCAAGTCAAAAGAAAACAAGACCCTGTCTTATTTTCGGGGTGACAAGTTATATTTCAGGTTGCATCTCTGTTCAAGTCCCATTCACTTTTAAAGATTCCCAAACAGTGACAGAGGTTACAGTAACATCTTTTAGATTCGAAAGAAGTTTATTTTAGATGCATATAGTGGATTGATTATGGCATGGATTACAATTGCACATATATACATATACAAATCTCAAGTGGGTAGTTTTACATTGAACTAGAAAGGCAATGTCATAAAAATGGATTCCTCAAAAAATCTCTTTTGCCAAGCATGAGAAGAAGTGGATTATATTGGTTTTGCAATCCATTTGGCTGGTGAAGACCGGATGCACTGGACTATGGGGCCAGCATCCCCTGTGAAGCCCTGGCACATGTATCTTGGAAGTAGGATATATGCTGAAGGCTATTCCTCTTTTTGAAAACTCTCAAACAATGATTGGCAACCATATAAACAACTGTTCCAGAGAGAAAATGCTTTGATTGCTTTATCCTACTTGTGCTTTATTCCAAAATAGACAAATGTGTTACTTTCTGATATTAACTTTCGAAATTCATGTGACAGGTTTATAAATATAAGGCGTAAGTAAATTAAAAAATGTGAGCTTGGATCTAAACCAAAACTCAAAATTTACAATAGTTCCAATGAAACTACTGGGTACGTATATACTCTAAACCTGATTAAATCTGGATCAAAGTCATTGGCCTGTTTTGTAAGATTTTGAAAATGGGTATCATATTTACATCCTGTCAAGATCAAGTGGCATTAAGGTATATTTAATTTAATTTGACCATGAGAAGATCTTCTAGAAGACCTTAGAAACTGTGCCATTTTTAAAACAGTATCAATAACAATGGATGCCTTTTGTAAACTACATCTCCTGCATTGTAGAAAATGGATGTCATTCCTTGCCAATCAAATTGCTGTCTTGCTTTGCCCATAAATAAAGGCAATGCCATTGTATATCTGTGTTTTGTAATCCCTTGTTCAAACATACTCGGATCAACAAAAGAGATATTCAGCTAATTATAAATCATAAATTCCCTCTACTTCCTTACAGTTCCAGATTATCAAGAACAGGATATATTTCTCTGGAGGAAAGAAACTGGTTTTGGATTTAGGATTCTTGGTGGAAATGAGCCTGGAGAACCAGTAAGTATCTATGAAATTAGCTTTCTTATTTTTCATATTTTCTTAATTTCTATTATCATCTCCTCACAATATGGCCTTGCTTATCTAATGTATATTGCTAGCATAGCCTTTGATTGTCTCTTGGATATGGCACTTGATTGTGCTAGCCAAAAAACAAATCCAATAGAAAACAAAGTGACCAGCCATGTTTTGAATAGCTATGGTCTTATTTCAGTCCAACTCAAATACGAGTGGTCAGTTTCTATCAGCAACTGGCTTAGCCCTGAAGCAGATGTATAATAGCTACTGAGCTGAACATTAAACAGATGTTATCAATTCTAGTCTGTTGATGATTTGAATCTAGCTAAAGGTAAGACTTCTTCTAAGCGTTATATAGTCTCAGTTAAGAGAAATCTACAAGAACTAAAAGTGAGTTTGTGGTGAAATTCTGTATTGGATATTATAGGAAACCTCTGTAATATAAAATACCAGTACAGGAAATTTTTGTAATATAACATATCAATTAAAAATGGGGTGTTTTTTTTTAATGAAACCACCCAAAATAATTAATCCTGCTTGTTGTTTGAAATAGGAAAGTAGTATTTCCCCCTGCGGAATCAACTGGTTACTACAGTCTGTTTCATTATCCAATACATATTCAATATGTTTTACAGATATTAGATCTAGGTAATCAGATCGGTCCTTTTGGATATTTGAGGTGTGAATCCATTAGGATAAGAGCTCTGATTTGGAGCAGTTAAAGGTGTTTGGGGCCTAAGTAATCGTGATTTGTTTCTTGAGAAAGTGACAGCTATTCTCATGTACATTCCCTTCCTCTTCACAGATTTACATTGGTCATATTGTGCCATTGGGCGCTGCAGATGCTGATGGTCGCCTGAGATCTGGAGATGAATTGATCTGCGTGGATGGAACACCAGTAGTTGGAAAATCACACCAGCTTGTAGTCCAACTTATGCAACAAGCTGCAAAACAAGGCCATGTGAATTTAACTATCAGACGCAAAGTGGTATATACAGGTAGGCTTCAATGTGATTGTGTGGGTGTTTTATTTCTATTCTATACTTGGAAGAATAGTGTATTGTACTTGGAGGAAAAACAAATAATAAGCGGTCTTTGGTGCTCTCTGAGCTCAGTTGTTTTCTTGCGGATGTTTCATTATCCAAACTAGTTAACATCATTGTATAAAAATACAATACTTGGAAGAAAATTTACTGTAGCACCTGTGAAGATATTGAATGTAACCCAGCAAAATTACCGAAGTGATCAGGATTCATGCTGAATATTTTCCTATAAAAGTTGCTTTGCTAGTTATGACCAGATTCATTTCGTTCAATTATCTGTTTATGGCAGATGCTTCTAAAGTTACACTGATATGAATGATATGATATGACTGATAGTCATACTCCTACCATTTATTCTCAATTTCTAGCATAAAACTGTGTGTGAGAGAGAGGGAGGGAGGGATGGAGAGAGAGAGAGAGAGAACGCAAGAGAGAGAGAGAGAGGGAGATTAAATTAACCTAAGGAATATTTTATGGTACCTTATGATGTAAGGCAAACTATGCAAGAAAATGACCTTCAGATATTCAAGAGTTCCAGCCTTCAGTATGGCTCTCTGAAGCATGCTTAGTGGAAGGGCTGAGAATGCCTTTCCTTAACTGAAGCCTAGCAATAGCAATAGCAGTTAGACTTATATACCGCTTCATAGGGCTTTCAGCCTTCTCTAAGCGGTTTACAGAGTCGGCATATTGCCCCCACAATCCGGGTCCTCATTTTACCCACCTCGGAAGGATGGAAGGCTGAGTCAACCCTGAGCCGGTGAGATTTGAACCGCCGAGCTGCAGAACTAGCAGTCAGCTGAAGTGGTTGCAATACTGCACCCTAACCACTGCGCCACCTCGGCTCTTGAAGCCTGTATTAAGAGTATATTCTTAGTGATTGTTAGTTTGGATTAATCCTCAAAATATGAAAAACAAACACATAATAAAATGTAGTACAAAGGAGAAAGGATGAATTATTGTATACATTCCAAATAGTAATATAACTTTTTGTCAAACTACTAAATTCTATTATAGAAAAAATAATTTGGCACACTAAATCATTGAATGGTACGCTTAATCTTTGAACAAAAACTGATCATGGGTATTCTTCTCCAGTGTTAGTGTCCCCTCAGATGGGTGCCACTGTGAATAGAGATATATGAAACAGAAGCCTCATGTGAACTTTGGAATATAGAAACATGTGTAGATAAAGATTCTCCCTAAAAGTCATCCCAATAGCAGATATCTCCCTCCTCTCAAGATATTTTGTCTTACATCTTCCTTAATTGTTGACCATTACAATCAGTTGATACAAAGCAGAAACCTCATGTATCAGCTTCATATTTTGCTGTAATACTCCTAAAAACTTGGCATTGTTGAAAAGCTGTTAATATGGGATTGCATCTTTCTCAAACAGTCCCCAAAGCAGAGAATGAGGTTCCCTCTCCAGCTTCTTCTCATCACAGTAGCAACCAACCAGCTTCTTTGACCGAGGAGAAACGCACTCCGCAGGGAAGTCAAAACTCACTCAACACTGTCAGTTCAGGCAGTGGCAGCACCAGTGGAATTGGTAGTGGTGGGGGCGGAGGCAGTGGCGTGGTCAGCACTGTGGTCCAGCCCTATGATGTAGAAATACGGCGTGGAGAGAATGAAGGTTTTGGATTTGTCATTGTGTCTTCGGTTAGTCGCCCAGAAGCTGGAACAACTTTTGGTAAGTACAGAATATGCTTCTAAAGTTTAGATTTTGGTACGGGGTTTATGTGACTCCTATCAGTATTTTAACTTCAAAAGGACATAGAGATTCCAGTTATGCTTTTGGCTGGAAAGGTTATCCTTAATGCATCTGTAGTGTTTATTGAAGAAGTAAACCTTCACCGACGACCAAAACAAGAGCAAGGGAAAAGACAGCAACCCTAGATTAATAGCAGAACCTAAATTGTTACACTAAAGCAGGGCTGTCAAACTCGTGGCCCATGGGCCAGATGCGTCACAGGCTGGCCACACCCACACCTAATTTAGTGAAGTGAAGTGGGGGTGAAGTTGCTATATGTCCCATGACAACGCCCTGACAACACGATTTTGATACCCCTGCACTAGAGTACAATGACAATAGTAATTATAAATACCAAAACAGTAATTAAAATTCACAAATGTGCCCCTTTCTTTTTCGATAATGTGCCTAATTGAAAAGCCAGGCTTTGGGAAATGTTTGCCTCCCAGGTCTTGTTCAAAGCTGAATTACAATTTTTGTTTTGTGTTGACTTTGTTTTCTTTCTAAAAGAGACATTTTGAAATTGGGATTCTAGAAATAATGGCAGCAGGAGGGGGGGTGGAAAGACAACAGGGGGTGTAATCCTATGCTTAAAGGAAAAACCCTCCGTAGCATATGGCTTTTCTTGAGATAAACAGATTAAGAATTTTTAAGAAGATACTGTAAAGGAAGCATTTGTACTAGCAGTGTGGATTGTATCATTGGCGTAGTCTTCCTTTTGATTCACTTTTTAAAACATGGCACCATTCATGAGGAAAGCCTCTCAGGTAACCTCTTCTTGCCTGTGAGTGTTTTCCCATTTACCTTCTAGGTAAAGCTTGACCTTCCAGGTGATCCTTGCAGATCAAACACCTGCACCCACTTCTTTCAATTCTCCCACCATTGCACTGAATACATTTTAAATTAACTAAAGCCTAAATCAATGGTGAATCATTATTCCATTTATATTTCTCTTGGCACAGGGATGGAACTTGAGAGGCTTAGGTAGTCTAAGACATTCCTGCAGAATAAAAATAAATAAAAAATACGGTGGAAGCTTCTTATCTCTAGAGCTTTTTAATCTGGATTTAACCCTGCACCTAGCTGATATCCAAACCAATCTAAATGTATTAGAAATGGGGTTTTTCATTTCTTGACTCTGAGGCATGTTTATATATTTATTGCTTAAGCAACAACAACAAAAAAAAGATTTGTCTTCCAATTTTCAACTTTTGGTCCTGTACATACCAGGTGCTCCACTAGTTAACAGAGGAGTTTTCCAACTTCTTTTCCACTGTTGAGGAATTTGTATGGTTCTTGTTTGCATTTATTGTAAAAAAACAAAAAAAGCACTTGGAATCAGATAGTTATTTAATCTTAATAAAGCCTAAGTAGACATAATGAATGCCTATTGAAAATCATAATGACTGATAAAATAATGCAGCAAATATAGTCCAAAACCACTCAAATCCCACCCACATTCAGTACAAACGCACAAATATAGAAGGCAATTGTAAAATGGTAAAAAATGTATGTTCCAAGCTCAGAGAATTGTATTGCTAGATTGATTGAAAGGATAGAGTGGCCTGTTAAATAAAGGCAATTAAATGTTTACTTTTCAAGTTTGGTTGGAACACCAGTGATTAATGTTCATTTCTAAAAGTTTCTTGAAAGCTAGACATACAAGGCCATGTGAAAGCAAATTTATGTCTTGACTTCAAGTTAATCCCTCCCTTCTCCTCTGCTCCCATATTCTGCATGAAATCCTTGTCCTTGGCTATACAATGCTTACCCTGTATCTGTAGGAGGCTTTATAGTTTGATATAGGTGGTCAACAAAAGTGGGTCAGATTAGATCAAAATGGTCTTTTCTAAAGTCCTGTGGATTAGATTTGTGTGCTCCTAGTTTTTTAGAAATGTAACCAAGAAATATTTTTTCTTGTATGGTGGTTATATTTACGAATAAATCATGATTACTGCTATCTGTTATGAAAATAATCCTTTCTACAAGTTACAATGGATTTCGGATAGTATATCACTGATCATTTAACTCATCCTTCATTGTGATTTTTTTCATTTTATCGCAACATAGACATAGTTCTAAAATTACTAATACAAATACAGTACAAGCATATTATATTTGGAAGGCTTCATAAAATCTCCATTCACACACAAATGAGGCCTCCAGTCCATAGTCACTATGACCCCATGCAAAGTAAGTGAAGTAACTGCTTCAAAACACAATTATGTGGAATGTTCTAAAGAATTGTGGACAGGAAATATTGACGAAGCCAAGTTAGGTAAGGGTACAATCATGTTTGATGTTAATTCACATTGCAATTTCAGAGCTGAATTTTTGTGGAAACAAAATTGGCAAATTGAGATAGAAATGTGAAGCCAAGTCAGAATGCCAGGAAAATAAAATGTCCAAAGAAGAGTGGAGTAAGCAGTAGTAGTAATGGTTTAGATTGATTGTAAAAGATATTAAAATATAAAGAAGAAGTCAATACACAGTATCAATTTTGAATCAAGCAAAGCCATTAAAAGTTCCTTGTTTGATAGATTTTTTTAAAAATCACTGGTTTTCTATATTCTATAAGCAGAAAAAAATGAAGATACAGATATATGGATATAATTATAAGTAATTTCTGTTACTCAGAACTATTGAAAAATAGTTAACAGCTTAAACTGAGAAATAGCTTGGTGTAGCTTAACCAACCACCATTCCAAGTTAGATTATGTAATCCATTAAATTGGTCCATAAAGTAAATAATTATACAATTCACTATACATTATACAATAGGAAAGAGTTCAATCTAGCTTTTCTGAACTATCCAAAATATACATAAATTTAGGGTGGATCAAGCCCAATAATGAGAGTTACAGGTATAGATCAAGGCCAACAAGCTTGTTAATTTCCAAAGACTAGTGTAAAATTAGTAAAGGCATGACATATATAAATATAAAACAAAATAAAAATAAAATGAACAATAATTTCCCTTGCTCCTCTTCACTACCCACACTGGCTAAAGCTTTTGGTACTAGAAACACATGGTAGAGTTGATTAGGAAAAAGGTACTATAAACATATTTTCCCTTGTCCCTTACTGTTATCATTTAATTCCCCATCCTTAACATGCATATCTAAAACTATTAGCTATTGAAATAGTGGTTGACAACTACCTGTATTTAGATTCTTGAGATATTTGGGGTATCATTAAGATTTCCCACTTATTCTGTTGACAGTTTATATTAAATTGCGTTGAAAGTAAGCATTTTTGGAAAGCTCTATATTCCCCCTTGGTCCATCTTTAGTGGCTTTGTTCCTGGCCTCAATTAGTTCCTTGATTCATTGTAGTAGAAACTCCTAATTCCCTACTGCTTTTATCCTTGCTGAAGTTATTTTTTTGTAGAATCTATCCTTCTGAGTTTGAATTAAGAGAAACCCCATTCCTTAGTAGGCAATACAATGATTGTCTTTCAAAACGGAGAAAGAACAAAACATTGGCAGAGATTTTAAGCATCATTGGCTAAGATAAAGAATGAGACAAAGTTGGGTTCAAGGAAAATCAAAAAGGGTTAGGTTGCCATTCAACAATTTCAGACTTGCAAGGAGAATCCTCAGAGATTTTATTCTGAGGTCTGCTGAGCACAGTGGCAACCCATTCAAACATACCCTGCGATGTAACAAGAAGAGCCTTATCTGCAGAAGAGAAGCACTATTAGAAGCATAGGAAGCACTGATTAGCACATTCTAATATTTTCACTCACAGTCAATTGCCAATGTTTTGAACACTGGCAGCAAAGCTCTCCTTTAATAACGTTTGCTTGATGCATTAATTAATTAACCCTTAACCTTCTCTTTCCCTTTTCAACCCTTTTTCTCCTTTCCCCCTCTCGCCATGTTCCCAACGTATTTAAACAATTTGTTTAAAAAAAAATGCACACGCGCAAAAACAAAAAATCAATTCAAAAGCAGGCAATGCATGTGTGGCCATGCCTCACAAAATAGGTCGGATTATTGAGGGGAGCCCAGCAGACCGGTGCGGGAAGCTGAAAGTCGGGGACCGGATATTGGCCGTTAATGGATGCTCCATCACCAACAAATCACACTCGGACATCGTCAACCTAATTAAAGAAGCAGGAAATATGGTTACTCTGCGCATAATTCCAGGAGATGGTAAAGTATTCATTCTCTCTTTCAAACCCTACCCTCTTTCCTTCACTACAATAGTGCTGTTGAGTTGCTCTGAACTGCATTGCTCTGTTTTGCCTCCTCCTCCTGATTTTGTCTCTCTCTGTGCAAGTAGTCCTTGACTTATGACTGTAATTGAGCCTGGCAATTATAGCCCTAAGTTGTGATTGTTATAATGTGGTTCGTCACATGACCAATCCAATATTAGGACCTTTTTTGTATGGTCATTAAGTGTGTGTTGGTAAGCAAAACCATTTTTTTGCTATGGGCCGGGTTTTTGCTGCAAAGCAGAAGTAAACATCAGTTTCTGACAAAAATGTGACTACAACACACTACAAATGGCTGTAAATGTAGGCCAGTTGCCAAGCACCCAAAATGCTGCTTTGTAATGGCAGG